GGCCACGGCCCCCGCGCAGGCGGCGCCCCAGCCCCGCAGGGGCTCTTAAGCCGATCTGGCCTTAATGCCCGCCTGAAAAAGCAGCGTGTGCCCTCCGCTATCTGCACCTCGGATTGCTCCCAGGTGTTATTTACGCTCTGTTAAGTTTGTAAAGCGCTTTGAGATCCCCGCGGATACAAACCAGTGCATGCATGTCTTTATACGAGTATTGGATAAGCTTGCCACGCGCGTTCATTGGAAATGGAGGTGAAGCTTGTCTGTGCGCGTTTTAGCTTGGAACACATTGAGTCCTGTGGTGGTTCGCCCCCGTGGGCACCTACATGAGACCCTACCACGGCCACGATCTGAAGGCAGGGGCACATCCCCTCTCTGCTGAGGAACTTCATTACTTTTATAACGTGCAAGGAGTTGGGATATTTTTATTGAATTCTGTGGCAATCAGTGTTACGCCAGGCAGACGGAAATTTTAATTAACAACGTGTCATCTTCATTTAGGTAGTTACAGTTCCATTGGAAATTACCTGGCTGAGCTGAGGGATGAGGAAGAATTTAGCAGGTGTGGGTCAGGTTTTTTCCAGTCCCCTGAGAATACTGGGCAACTTCTGCATTTACTGAAATGCACATGAGTCACCAGCACTGAGCATCCTTCAAAATCAAGCAACATTTGTCTTCACCTTCTGCAGCACACCCAGTGCAAAGGGGCCTAAACTGAAGTCTTAAAAGTAGTTTGTAATCCCAAGTGCGTTTGGGATTTTCCCATGATTCTTCAAACACTCTCTCAAAAGTTCAGAAGAAAATATGCAGAAACTCTCACTTATCTTGGCTGCCTTGAGCATTTTAACCCAGTTGCATCTGCCTGGATTATCTTAATTCTGTCCCATCTATATTTTTCCTAACTTTATAATCTTTGGAACTTTCACTACCTTTTTCTCAACTGTCCCAGGTACTTTTCTGCCTGCCTGGACCATCGTTCCAGGTATGGACCTTCACTTATATATTTGTCTACCTTTAACACACCCAAGCATCACTTCTCTTTATTATCTGGCTAGGTAGGTATCTTCATTGCGTTATCCATAATGCTTCCCTTACTCCAGACTCGCTGGCATTCTGGTTGCTTAAGATTAAATGCATAATATTTTCCTGTTATAAAGACTGCCTTGCAGAATTTTAAGTGCTAATACTGAAAGGCTTATTTTCATGGCCTCTATTTTCCCAGTGTTACACACATTATAATTTTCACCTCATCTTCACTTTGTTCCGTTCCATTTTTTCCATACTTTGTCCTTCTGTACTATCCTGCTTTTACTAATGTAGAAAGGCAGGACGTAAAGAGGATAAACGGCTGGTCCAAGAGCAGACAAAGGCAGTAATACATGCCTTCATACTCGCAGCAACAAAGAAAAAAAAAGGTCAGAACTAGAGGATTCATCACAGTTATGCTGCCACAACTAATAGGAGAATTTTGCTCGTGATCTTCTCCTGGCCTCGGTCGTTCTCTGCTGCTATAAATTTTCTTCTCAGTGTTACCTGTTATTCACCTGGTGGATCCAGGTTTTTAGGTACTTAGCAGCAGCAGTTCTAGGAATCAAAGAATTCTGAAACATCCTCCCTGGGATCCCATGTGAATTTACTGTGCTGTTCTTTGACACTGGCCTAGCTGTTTCCAGATTCTCCACAGTTTTACCTCGGCCATTCAAATACACTGTACAAGCTGTGTCATTATCAGTCAGAAAGCAGGCAGGCAAGTCTCCTTAGGCTCTTGTGTTGAAAGCACAGTTGCCGTTTCACAACAAACAAGCAGCGTTTCACGCTGACTCCAAGCAAGGATTCCTCTTTTCTTTCATTGTGTTGGATCTGAGTCCTCTTTTCTACCTTTCCCCTCCTGGTCCCCCACTGCACAGTTAATAGAACTGTAGGCAAAGTTCAAAATACTCATCAGTAGTTCTGACTGTCAGACATATAGAACAACTGAAATTTGTTCAGTTTAATGGCACCCAGAAGGCCAAGTGACAGAAATACGCTGGCCTTTCTTGACTTCTAAAAGGCCTGGCGTATACCTACCTCACATAAAATGCTGACCCCTCCATGAAGGGTAGCGCTGCAGTGCCCAGAAAATGGCAAGTTATTAAGTGGTAAATAGACTCAACCCGGTCTCTGCTGTCAAACCACACTCTCCGTGTTCTTAAATAAATATCACATCTATGTATATTAAATAAAGATCAGATCCCAAAGTGGTCACCAGAATGCTTTGGAAGGAGGCTTCCTGGCAGCAGTAGGTAATAGGTCCATCGATTAAAACTAGATGTGTGCTTATGGAGAAGCTCTCTTTCACATCTTTTCCTTTGTGCCTGTGTAGCTATGTTGGCGTACGCCAAGAGGAGGCTGAGAAGGAGATACCGTAAGATATCATGGCTTTGTGGAACTGAGATGAGTGGTGTGTGTAGCACCACCAGCATTACCACCTCTTGAGAGCGAAGCCTTCTGCTATAAAACAGTCCGTGCTACTTCATCTCAGTTTAGTGTTAACTTCTGTCCTCAGCCTGCCAAAGCTGTCCTATTAATGTTGCGAGCTCTTGTAGGATGGACAATAGTGTGCCGGTAGCAAGGTCTTTCACATGGATTTTCAGAGCCATCTAAGAGGGGTAACTGCACAGCTCTGACTGAAGGAGATCTGGCTGCCAGCTTTGCATGGGCTCTTTTTAAAAGATCATTCTTTACATCTTTATTTAATAATTTGACTGATGATGGCTCAGAGCAGAACTGATGTACAGTAGGTTCAAGATCCATTTTTGAAAACTGTCATTTTCATTAATACCTCCTTTTTGCCTTTCAGACATGGCCATGCCCAGTTCCCTTTTGTGGGCTGTTGACATTTTTGGGAGGGTTTACACTCTGTCTACTGTTGGCCAGTACTGGGAACTCTGTAAGGACACACAGCTGGAATTCAAACGGGTCTCTGCTGTCAAAGAGTGCTGCTGGGGAATAGCCTGTGATCATCAAGTATACACCTATGTGTTCTCGGGTGACGTTCCTATTAGATACCAGGAAGAAACCTATGAGAATCAGGTATGAAGTGTTACGGGGGCCTCTATCACACTGCCACATATTCATCAGAAAGGAATGATAGCAAATCTGTACATCAGCCATCTCTACGTGTTTTTCTCACGGAAGATTGTTTGGTTTTATTTGTTTCCATTTTTTACCTGATGTTTCTGAAGAGTATATATGTGCCAAATAGCACATATATAGTTCATTAAACATTCAACAGTTTAATTCCCAAAGGAAGGTTATACTTCCCTGCTCTTACCAAAAGCAACGCCAGCGTGCACTACGGCCTATTTTATATGAGCCATTTCAGACTGGAACGTTCACCCTTTTCACCTGATGTTTTCCTTTCCTTAGTGACAAATACACAATCCCCTTAAGAAAATGTCCAGTGTAACTTCTAGGCAACAAAGATACATTATCAAAAATGTATTATTCTTAAGAAAATACTGGTTTTCAGTGTTTCAAAGAATTCTCTGATAAAGGCATAACTCTCCATTGAAGTACAATGTTTCCAGCTTTTTTGCATAGAATTGTGAAGATGATCCTTCCTATGTGACGTACTTCAAAAGAATGTCTTTTAAATAGTATTTTAAAGGAAATCTATCTATTTTGTTTTTAAGTTAACCAAAAGTTATTTGAGAGAGTAAACTGAAGGATTTTCTTGAGCACATTTCTCTGATTTCTAACGGGCAACAGGATAAATACAAGTTGAGAAAAGACATTAACTTATCTGCATGGGTAAAAATGCAACAAATTAATTTTAAACATTATTTAACATTGATACAATTTCCCAGCCATTTAAGAATGTTCCTTTTGTTATGTAAACATGTTCTTTAAAAATGCAAAACTTTAAATTTTATTTGTTATTTTAAAACTTTTGTTTTGTTTGTTCTAGACTATGAAAAAATGGAAAACAAAATACTAGAAAGCACAAAAGGAAATATTCTGCAAGAGCTAACAATGACAAAATTAAACTCAAATAGTTTACAGATAATGTGCAAAGCAATTTAGCCAGATTCCTAGTAAAAGTAAATAATATTTTGCGTAAAAATTATAGAAGGATTTTGAACCACTCATTTTCCACATGCCCTAAAATGTAACACTATTACATGACATTTTTTGCCAGTATTTCTATAGTAGGTAAGAGTGTGGGGAAAAAAAGAAAAAACACAGCTGCATTGGCAAAAACCCTAGCAAGTTATTTGTTCTGTAACTGATTAAAGCCAGATTTGGAAAAAAACCCCTCGGTATAACATAAGATACAGGGAAGATTTACTGATATAGTTATCTTGACACAGTTTCCGGCACAGAAGCTATGCTATTTTTCTAGTGCAGGCAAGATACTAATCGTCTTTCTCATGGAGAGTAGATTAGAGATCCCAAGGCCATCTATACAGCATTATCCTAATGCTGCAGTATCATGGTGCCATACATCACCAAAGAAAAAAGCACTATTAGCAGTAAAATATATCATCAGATGTTCCTATTTATGTAGCTGAAAATGACTTGGCTGGGACTAGCTCTGCAGTCAGCCCTTCTTTGAGACTTAAAAAAGCTTCCTCCAAAGACTATGTTAGGTAGGGGCTTACAGTGTGAACGCTTTCTCACTCACCCCAGGAATTTATTCCTCTTCTACTGCAGAAAGTAAGAAATGTATCATTTATGACTCCCTGTAGATGTCCAATGAGATGATATGATCTCAAATAAAATATTTTATTTATTATTTCTGGCAGCGCTGGAATCCAGTTGGTGGCTTTTGTGAGAAATTACTGCCCAGTGACCGCTGGCAGTGGAGTGATGTGAGCGGGCTAAAACATCAGCAGCTTGATAGTTTCACACTCCCTTCACCACACTGGGAGTGGGAATCTGACTGGTATGTGGATGAAAATATTGGAGGGGAACCAACAGAGAAAGGGGTAGGTGAACAATACCAAAAAGAGATCTATTCTGGGAATCCTTAGTCTGTAAAATAAAAGGCATTTTTATAGAAGTGTAAAAGGTCTGTAAAAATAAAAGGCACTTAACTTCCCATAGCTACTTCTTTCTGGGAAATAGCTCAGTTATAATACAGCACAAGGAAGGATCTTGTTTGGAGGCTTTTTAAGTCTATAGGAGCTGCTATAGAAGCTTTTTTCTTTTGATCGGGTCTGAAATGCTGGCAACTGGATGCCACTGTTATTTAAGATCTTTACTATGAAGAAAGTAAAATGCTTTACTGTGTCTTGTTTGTTCTCTGTATATCATGCAGAGGAATTTGGACATGATTCATAAATCATTCATGGAATTAGCTGATCTGTTAATCAGGGCTGTTGAGACATGCACAGTAACCTTTACTGTATTTGTAGGAGTGACTCTTGTGCAGAATTGCTCCGAGTTACGATTTCAAGCTTTCCCTGATTTTCACACAAGAAAACCTCTGTTTGCAGGGCTGGACTTACGCCATAGACTTCCCCAGCACCTACACAAAGGATAAGAAATGGAATTCTTGTGTCAGACGCAGGAGGTGGATCAGATACAGGAGATACAAATCACGGGACATTTGGGCGAAGGTTCTGGATATCTTTTAAATATTAAATAAACTGATTTTCTGAAATAATCAATTACAAGTGCAGGGAAATTCATTTTTTATCACTGCTCTGTAGGCTGGACCTGGATTCCTTGACTTCCAACTTGTAATTCTTGCAAGCATAAATGGAAGGCTGGGATTTTTCATAGAAACCTGTGGTAATAAGGTGCCAAATCTCACACTAATGCAGTTGGAGATAGATGCTCAGCTCCTTTGCAAATTTCAAACCAACTTTTTAACTTCCTTTGGTTGTTTGACAAAGCACTCTTTCGAGGTGGCACCTGTCTAGCATCATTCACCAGCTGCATCCTTTATCTGTATGAATAACTGTTCTTTAATAATTGTTGTTCCATT